TATTGCACTTCATTTCGACTCCTGGAATTGAATTGGAAAAGAGGTGTAATTAGGATCAACTATCATGGGCTGCAATAACAGATACTTGCTTGTTAAGATATGTTAATTCTTATTAGCTTGCTACACAATAAGAAGCCGCAAGGGCGGTAAATCTGGCATCACTGTAACAGTTCGTTCTCGGTTGACAGCATTTGCTTAAACATGCTCCAACCTACCGTACATAACTGGCAGGATGCTGCCACAAGCGACGAATATAAGCCACCAGACTTAGATCTAAACACGTTTTGTAGATATAAATAGTTGGAATGAATCAGTATTTCACACGTCACACGATGACCAAGCGGATTGAATATTTACCTGATGTTTGTTAAAACATATTTTGTAATTTATTTTTTCAAAGAAAATAGTAAGTAGAATTGTGTACTCCAGAGACAAAAATCAACGACTTAATTTGAATATTTGTCACAAACCGAGAAAGAAGAAGAGGAAAACATGCTTCTTCCCAAATCTGTCTGGTATATAAAAAAATGACTTTGGGATTAGAGGCCCTTCTTACACAGATCATATAATTTTTCGGTAGTCGCGAGATATTTTAGGAGAAATCCACTTTACGCATCAGATCCAGTAATTCTAAAACGCCGTTTGACTGATCACTTTTAATCTGCAGATAGAATAATTAGTCTTCCTCATTCAAATCGTATAATTGTTGGCTAGCTTGAGAGACACAGTAGTACATGAAGCTATCTGATAATTTGATAAAATTTTTCGAAATCTACTTGGCTGATAGAAAGCAAGTAGTCAAGACCGTTAGGGACATCTCTTCTACAATTGAGGACACAAGTGGATAAAGGTGTGATGTAACATTTTTGCATTAAGCTAACCTTAAGGTGTGATTCTTTCGATCTGTGATAACTTTGTTGCAAAGAAAAATAACAAACTAACTAAACTAAATATTCAAAATGGCAATAAAGTTAAAAGTCCCAATAAAAATGTTTAATGTCAGTTTTCTCCATACAATGATTTTGCTACCTGGCACCTTCATCCACTTGTGTCTCCAATTGTGGTTAGATCTGGTGTTCCACATGAGGCAGTTCTGGGGCCTATGCTGTATTTATTTATACGAATTTCATTCTATACAAATGTACGTTGATGACACACAATTATGATCTCACCTTAAATTTCCTCAGATAAATGGAGTGTTGTTCAAAAACAATACAAATATTTGTCAGGAGCACTCTCACAGGATCAATCCTCAAAAAAGCTGAGGCATGAGTTTTTGTCCTGAACTCATGTATTACCACATAAACGATGCCACTGTATCTATTATAAATAACAAACTCATCCCCATAGTAGAACATTCTGAAAACCTGGGTGTTGTCTTATACTGATCACCTGTCTCAATAGAACGTATGCCATATTGAAACTATTATATTCCAACTGGTACATTTTAAAGATTGCGACTAGGAAACGGTTAATTGGAACTTTGATCATGTCATATTTATATGCCTTAATTTTGATCTGTTCTTACTTGGATCACAGAAAATTAAGCAGCTGCTGCAGGTTTGTGTTTATCCTCGTAAATATAGTCATGTCTCTCCGAAGGTTCAAGGTTCATATTGGTTGAAAAAGGAATCACAGTTTGTGTGTGCAATGGAGGTGTTTGTCCATAAAGTAGTTGGAACAAAAATGCCACCGTATACTTTACAGAATCTGGTACCAAGACGTAACATTATTCGGAGGAACCTCAAACATATAGCTTAAATGGGAGCGATGCCTCCAAACTACCTGGTCACTTTCCAAAAAAAAGCTTTACCTTTCGTGCTATATATTTCAACTAATCCAGTCGAGCCTTGTTAAGAAACAGATGATGGGATAGTTTAAAGGTGCTGTGATATGTACCGTTTAAACTTTGCATCTGTTAAATCACTACTTCCTTCTGTTTCATATTACCTATTGTTTTGCTGGCTTGTACGTGCGTGTGTGAGTATTATAAATACTTTATGCTTCCACTTTTCTACTTACTTTTCTTTTTCTTCTTATTATTATTATTTTATTTGCTTATTTATGGAATTTATCTTTGTTAATTTCTCGCAGTGAGGTTAAGACTAAGAGTAGCCTTTAATTGATTTGATTTTTTATTGATTGACATTTATTATTACTATTATTATATGTTAGAACGATCTTAGTGGCTGGTCTCTGTTTCTCGATATGGTATAGTTTAGTGAAGTTTATTGCAAAATCAAATCACTCTATACACGCAAGTTAAATGAGAAACGTAACTGCCACTTCTAAACGACGGCATTCATGCCATACGGATAATCAACACAAAAGACCTTGATGTTGCACCAACAAATTAAATTACTCGTTACGTTAATTAAACTAAAATTTTCCCAAAATTCTCATCCTTTTTCAGCACAGCAAGAGCCATTGTGGAGCTATGAACCCAGCGACGTTTACAAATTGACCCCGGTCGTCTGCGAATGCCATTTTCATTCTAACGGTGCGACAACAAGCCCGTTATTTTAATTTCACAATATTTCAGTCGGGTGTTGCATCCGAGAGCACTGACAATGAGAAACTTGCTCTGGCGCACATACCCAGACCTGGACAACGACATTGTAAGGATAATTCCGAAACACGTCCTTTTTCAACGATACCGAACATTGACATTGCTATTTGACTTATACCTAATTTCGTAGAGAAAATGAGAATTTCTTCCAGTATTTGGCTTAGGAAAAAAAAGCGCAAGATGGTCCGAAATAAAAAAATATCTTTTCAGTTTTTAACATGAAACGGTGAAAGCACTATCGGCCATGAAGTGACAAATTGTAAGAAAGAAATGTCACCTGTATGTCACTCGTACACTAACGTTGTCTGCTTTACATAGGAATAAATTCTAGTCAGCGTGAAATGTTGTATACAGGGTGTTTCAGGACTAAGGGATCAAAGTTCTAGGAGTTATTCAGTGTAACAGTAGAAAACATTGAGTATAGGGACCCATCTCCGGAAAAGTGTCACTACGGCACTAATGGCCTTAGACGCGTTAACATTTAGAAAGACGATGAATTGCCTAAACAGGATTTAATGCATTTAATTTTTGCATCTTGTACATGATATCGTCACAACGATTGTTCAAAATGTCTTCCTCCAACCTGAATACACCTATTCAACGTCGCACATGATTTCGGCGGACTTGACTAAAAATTTTGTACTCGTTATGAATGATTTCAAATGCTGCTGTAATTGGTCCAATTAAGTCTTGCTCTGTTTCTACTGGAGTTTCGTAAACCAAAGACTTTACATGTCCCCATAGAAAAAAAATCTAGCGACGTTAAATCGGGTGACCTAGGAGGCCAAGAAACTGCTCCACCTCTGGCAAACCAACAGTGCCCAAACCGCTGAGCCAAATACTCACGTACTTGTACAGCAAAGTGAACTGGCGCTCCATCATGCTGGAACCACATTTCGTCGCTTGAATGCAGAAGTATTCTAAGTCACAAAATGCAAATTTTACAGGTGAGCTATTTTTCGTGTCCGTAAAAGTTGAATTATATTTGTTGCTGACATTGGACTTACAGTAATTCTGTAAGTGATCATCTGCTCTTATCATAGTTTGGCAGCGAAATGACGTGCCTCAAGCTATTACGCCAAATATCGTTCAAGACCAGTGGTGGGGGAACGCTTGGGCAGAGGCTTACAATACCTCCGCATGTAATGACCTAGAATGTCGTGTTAAAATCTGAAAAATGAAGAATTTGGACATACCATAGTTCTGCATTCAGGCGATGATTTGCTGTCGAACGTTCAATGGAACATTTTCAAGAAGTTCTGGAAGAACTTCCTCCAAGAAACGCCGGTAAATAGGTCCTGTTAACCGTTCCGGTGGCCTAATCAAATAATCATCTACAATGCCTGCCCATACGTTGACAGACCAACGTTACTGATGTTTTCTAGGAAAATTTGTATCGGGATTTTCTTTGTCCTAAACGTGGCTATTCCCACTATTAAAAATACAGTCTCTTTTGAAAGAAGCTTCATCGGTCCACAAAACATAGCGTAAACAATTTGGTTGTACAGCGATTTGATGAAGAAGCCATTTACAAAATTGAACTCTACGATGATAATCGGCTGCAGTCAATCTTCTGGAAGTGGTAAGGATAAAGTTGTTGCTCGTCTAGCACTCGCCAGACGGAAGCGTTACTCGTATTCATATCCTCAGCAATGTGACGTGTGCTACTTGATGGTTCGTCAGCAACTCGCTGAAGGACCTCTTCTTCAAATTCGACCGTTCTTGCGGTTCGAGCAACACCAGCAGATATCAAGCATGTTGGTTTTAAACATGCCTCTCTCGGAGTGCCGCCGATGAATAGCAATAAACTTTTTGTATCCCGGATGCTGTCGTTCGGGATAATGTTCTGCTGCTGCTCGTGCATTGCAGCTTGTTGCTCCGTATGCCAAATGCATGTCCGCCAATTCTTGATTGGTAAAGTTTTCCATTAGCAACAATTAATTTTTGTTAAATTCTTGCAAAATTCACAAAAACGATAGCACGACTAAGACGATATTTAATGCAGCTACAAAAAACAATCTCTGTTATCGTTTTTAAAGATAACAACACACAAGCGCCGGATATGGGTGCCTATACTCAAATGTTATCTACTGTTACACTGAATAACCCCTACAAGTTTGATCCCATAGTTCTGAAACACCCTGTATATATATTTTTTTTATTGAAAGGAAACAATAAAGAATGTTGGGTTCGTAAAAGCAGAAAGCACACATTTGCCGAAAATTGACACATACATGTTTTTTCCTTAAACCCAGATTTCTACTCTGCTGAGCTGAGGAACACCAATGCGTCTGATATAATGATAGACATGGAAAGAAAGAATAAGTAATACACTTACATAATCTTCCTTTTCAGAAGTCATTCAAAACTAAGCTCATTCATTAATAATTTTATCTGTTGTATTTGACGTAAGCGCACATTAATATGGCAATACTGGAACAAAAATTAACTATTTAAGAGCTACAAAAAGTGCCATCTAGCCTAGTCTGAAACTTGTCTCTTAAAGCCGTCTGTCACGACACAAAATTTTGTTCATAATTGGTATCCAATTTTGGGAGAAAATATGTCACTGAATTTAGTTCCCAATTTGTTTACCAACTACAGTTCTGTCTGTCACGTAAATAATTTTTTGTAATCAACTTTATACTAAATCGTGCGCAGTCGGTAGAAAAAACTATAACGGTCGACTTTGAACTGCCATTTATCACGTCAAAGTCATACTAACCACCCTTTTCGTTGTTACTTTATTACTTTAAACAAATAGAGAATTGTAGAAAATAGAACGATCCCTAGCGATCTGCGTTTTAGCTACCAACCTCATGATTAAACGAAGTAAACGAAACCGTAAACGATTTGGTTTCGAAAATGGATCAGATGCTGAATAAAGAACTTCTAGTGGAGGGTCCACTAACTTATGCATCTAAATTTATCCTTTTTTTTTCCAACGCAGCTTATTTGAAGTTTCTGTTCATATAGGCCTTTGCTTTTACAGCACCTAAACCTTAATACTTCTCATGCTCGCTTAGTAGTATGTCGTACAGCTATTTTGACCGTTACACCTTTTGAGTTTTCAATCTACAAGAGGAACAGCATACAGCGTAAGCAGCGAAACTGATGAACACAACTGATTACAACAACTGACGAAAGTGCTTGAAGTTACGCTTATTTTTGTCAACCGATTATCATCTTATCTAACTGACACAAAACATCAAGAGAAAATCAAGGAGTTAACACAAAATATGTAATTCTTTGTCACGTAGCGCTTTTATCAGCAATGCTGTCTGACACTATACTGAGTTATGCACGAAATTTAACGAAACAGACTAATTCTCCAAAATATTGCTATATAAACTTATTTCAATTCGTATATTTGCATCATTTTTACTTCATATCTTGAGACACCCTGTACAATATCTAGTAGCCTGAGAGATGTAATCTTCTAGTGTTTGAGTATGATATATTAAACTCATTCTCTGTTGAGCTGTTTCAGAGAATTCCGCATAAAACAGAGCAAGTCCTTAGGATATTTCCTTAGCGCTGATGTTTCATACCTCCCAGCCCTGTAGTTTCCATACACTTGTCTAGGATGTAGAAGTAATTAATGCTCTATTTGCTCTTTAACATCAAGATATACTGTAGCGCTCTAGGAACAGTTTGTGGCGCTAAGAACAGTCTGTAAAGTATAAGTAAAGCTAGGATTTATTTAGTACGGGAAGATGCACCACCAATTCTACTTATCCATGGAACTGGATGTGCAGCAACGAAGCATAAATAGACTGAGTGAATGAAGGTGTTACTCAAGATGTCAGTAAAACACACTTTGCTTCTTAACATTGTGACAGCAGTACATACGTTTTATTGGATACTGCCTATTAAGTCCATGAAATTGTGCCACTTAGAATTAAAAGGTACAATAGTCAGCAGTATGGCCTGACCAATCTAGCAAGGATGATCAACAAAGAATTCATCGAGCTTTTGTTATTCTTTTGACTAGAATATAAAAAATATATCTCATTTCTTAATCCCCTTAAAATGATCTTCTATCTCATATAAAGGCTTGTTCTTAGTCTCAGGCAACACAATCGCCAGGAGTACTGTACATACTAAGCAGGTGGTTCCATATAACATGAATACTCCTTCGGCTCCAATAGTTGTAAATAACCATGGTGTGGTCTGTACAACTGAATAAATATATGCATAGTTCAACATGGATACCAAACCAGTGCCGAGTCCCCTATTTGCTAAAGGAAATACTTCTCCCATTAATGCCCATGGCACTGGCAGAAGTCCCATAGTCAAGAATGCTGTATAAGTTACCAAAGCTGTAAGGGGTACCAGGGAGTACCCCTGCGCAAGTTCGGGATAGTACTTGGCTACATAGCAGAATAAACTGACAACAAAGAGCGAAACGCAGGTTCCACAGCAACTGAAAAGTGTCAAAGTTCGACGTCCAACTTTCTTTAGGAGATAACAAGCTACAATTGACCCAACTAGCCGTATGCTGTCCATAACTATCATAGATGTGTACTCGTTGATCGAGTCTCCAATGGTTTCTTTCACTATCATGACGTTGTAGAATGTCACAGCAAATGCTCCGGACCATTGGACCGTGAAGAAGAGTAGCAGCATTATGAGCAGGGGCTTGTAAAATTCGGGCTTCTGGAACTGCCTAAAAAGAAATTTTGACGTTGCAACATTTTCTAACATTCATACAAATGCGATAGCAGATCGGCATTTCGACGGTTCTTATTCCATCTTCGTTGTAGGTCAACATCGACCAAAACATGCCTCTGAAAATATTGTGAATAGACATTAATGACTAAATTTTTATGTTGATTGTCCGAGTAGCCTCGAAATTTAGTCCAGACTAGAGAAAAGAAAAAGGTGAAGAAAAGTTTAGCAGATGTCTGGAAGTTTTAAATATGGGGAAGATGGGTCTTTCTAGTGACAAGTACATATAAAGATACAGACAGCTATGCGTTGTTTTTATTATAAACAACGAGGGAAGCCCAAAATTCAGTGTTTTGCTTGTATAATTTTCAAATGAAATTTTAGAAGTAATCGGTAAACTGGAGATTTCTGGGCATAAAAAGACCTACAATTATGTTTTTTAAGAATCAAAGAGGATAAACAATTATTAAGCTAAATATGGGGCTTTTTACCAATATTGAATAAAAAATTTTCATAACTATTGCAAGAACAATGAAAATGAATTCCGCCAAACCATGTTTGTAACTGGTAATATACCCGTGGAAGGTTTTTTCAAATATGCGTTCTTCAACCACCTATCCAGATCAACTTGTTAAAATAAATTATATTGAAAAATGACAAGGTTATTGTACATGTTTATAAATCTAAAAATAGCTATTTCTTTAACATCATTTTTAACAACAACTTTGAAATAAATAATTAATTTTTTGAATAATAAACAATTCTTCAAGTTTAGGTCTTCAAGAACTCATTCCACTTTTGTAGAATGTTGTAGCACCATGACTTGGACAAGAACAGTTGTTTAAATAATTCGTCTCTGGGATAAAAAATTAGTTTTTTACATGAGCTGTTAAACCGATCCGGCCGAAATTTAGCAGACTTATTAATACCGACGATGCCCTCATTCTCACATATTTTTAGCCATTTGCAGTTGTTATTGCAAGCGTTACAAACATTTATTCAATATTGCTAAAAAGCCCCATACTTATATGCTCTAAAATTTACAGTTTTTCGAGCTTTTCCCATTGTTTACAAAAAAACAACGGATATGTGCTCTACCTTTTTATGTATTTGTTATAAGACAGAATTATCCTTTCGTCTAGAATTTACAGATATCTGCTAAACTTTTTTACACGAAATACCTATCTTTTCTCTGTAGCCAGAGCAAATTCTGAAAAACAGACATCCTTGAGCACTTAAGACGATGCACTGAGGCTCCGTGTACTATAGAACTCTATATGTCGCTTTTTAAAATGTATATGTTACCGGCAATCTGTATAATCCGGTATTCCATACAATACCACAATACCTAGGTGATGTATATAATACCTGAAACCTGTAAGTAATGTATGACATATTATTTGTTTCATACTTTGCCTAGGTATTCTATATAATACCGAATGCACAGCCGGTAATGTATGTAAAAGACGAGAACAAGGAAGGTTTTGTGCACTTCAAAATGTAACAACAGTTCCTCGTGTAATATTAAATAATTTTTTCACTTACTTAATTAAAATTTTCACTAGGCAGTAAACCTACTTATTATTTTCAGAGGATTATTTTGTTTCTTAAGTACATGTAGGAATATTTTTTTTATTCTATTAAAATTTTGACTAAGCAGTAGACCTACACTACCTATATTTTTACAGAATTATTTTGTTTCTTAAGTTTTTTATACGTATTACGTACGTACTTGTAAGCAAAGAAAATTATTATGTTACTTATAGCCAGAAAAATTTTTAGTTTCACGTTCACTTTACTGTGATTTTACTGTAGTAACAGAAAGGTGCTTTTTTGTAACCTTTTCATATAGCTTATCTTTAAGGTGCACTTTAAGTGTTAATTTTAATCAAGTTGATTTCAAATAATATAACTTGTTTCATTTGCCCGTCATTTTATAAGTATGTCGGATAACATTGTTAAATTTAGACCAAGATCTATTTATTTTACACATTGCCGGTGGAACATCAGGTACTGTATACAATCCCTAGGAATTGTATTTATTACCTAGGTAAAGTTTGTAATGGGTAATAATATTTCATGCATTACCAGGGCAATTCTAAACATTGCCTAGGTATTGCATAGAATACCTGAATTATACATATTACCGGTAACATATATACTTGTATATTCATTATTACCATTTATGTTTGTGGGCACTATGTGTCTCTATCGCTTACTCTTTGGCTATGTTCTGCAAATTCATGTACATTTCAGCATGTCAAGCTGGTAATTGTGGGCATACAACGTCAGATGGGCGCAAATTGTCATGCTAGGTAGTTACTGTTGTTATCCCACGGGATATTTTGATGTTTGGGCTCAAAGTAGTTTCGATTTATATCCTAATAACATAAACTTCCCAATAGTTTTTGAGCCAAATGAAAAACCGAGAAACGTGGATGATGTGGGAATAGAGTGACCCTTTTACTTCCTACACCACTGGGCGAGGAGTTATTGTAATCGCAGAAAAATCGAAAACGGCATTATGTTATTTTGATGTTATATGGCATGTACATCACGGAAAACCATGTTACTTATTTCCGTCGGTCTGTCGTTCTGCTCGGATTTGAATGAAATTTTTACACAATGCCGGAGATGAAAAAGCTAGTAAGTAGCTTTTGACAATCGGTACATTGGTGGCATAGAAGAACGTAGAAAACGGACAAAACAAAAATCGCTCAAATCTCGTTTTTTGAAGTTTCAGAGGATCATGACTATTTTTGGAAAAATTTTAAAGGTACAAAGACTTAGGTGGCGAGGGAGGATATATCTCAATTATTTGATGTTAACGTATTTATACGCTCCCATCCCCGGTCATTCTATGCACACCACTTTATATTGTATTTATAGATTTCCTCATGCATTTGCCGTTAAAGCTGAGAATGATAGAGAAATGTTCTCTATATGTGTCTCCTTCTGCTATCAGGGATCAGCTGCCTCGTCTAACGATTTGAAAAAAGGCAATGTTGCCAGATAGATACTAACTACCGGTAGGGAGGGAAATAATATATATATATATATATATATATATATATAGACTTATTGCATGTGCCTGTTTGGCTGACCTGATTGGTTAATTTTTCTATTGTACATGTTTCTAACTAATTTTTTTCTCACCTACAGCTTGTGCTTTACTGATAACGGCGTTGCGTAGATAGTGCAGACACAATCTACTGGACGCCATTTTTTTTCTATTGAGGATATGCCATTTGTGGAATTGTTTCGTATACTGCTGCAGTGGAACTCAATGTGCTATCGGCACGATTCTATGGGTACTTTGTGCGCTCACAAAATCGACTGGTTGCTATGTTTATCCCCGTTTTATTCTACGAGTATATATCTGTTTAGCATACGGACTTATATTCACAATGTCATGACTAACACTTTTGAGTTGTCACGTTCGTTGATTTGCTACTAATTTAATTATATACTAAGTGACGTATAAATCCGAACACCCAGTTTAAATGGTTTTATTTTAATAAAAGCTGGTGAATGTATTTATCTTACTGTAAATAACAAGTGACAAAATTTTCAGCCTTATCAGTTGGACATTCCGGTTTTTATACTGCTTTTTCTTAATTCACTAACGCTCTAAAAATGAATATTTCAGCCGCAGTAAAGAATCAACGTTGGCGGATTTTGGTTCTTGACATTCTTTACGATCGGTTGCGATGCCTAGAGTACGGAGACCTGTACGACTTCGTCAACTTAGTGCTGGACTTTATTTTCGGGCAATTGCAGTTAGAGTGCAAAGAAGTGTAGACACTGTGGCTAGGTGTTGTCAGGCATGGCTTCGAGAAGGCCGTACGCAAAGAGCAAGGGGCACTGGACGCCGCCGTAGAACAACAGACCGTGAAGATCGCCGCCTAAGATTATTGGCCTTAAGGGACCGTTTCTCCACTACCAGGTCCATTGCAAATGAATGGTATGCAGAACACGGAAGACCTATTGGCATGCGAAGTGTTTACCGACGAATGAGAAGTTTTGGCTTGTTTTCATACCGACCACACTGGGTCCTCCCTTTAACTCGAGAACACCGACGTAATCGCCTTTAGTGGTGCAAACAACGGTCACTCTGGGATCAGGAATGGAACAGTATTGCCTTTAGTGATGAGTCCCGATTTTGTTTAGGCATGCACGATGGTCGTGCCAGGGTTAGAAGGCGACGTGGTGAAAGGAGGAATTCACAGTTTTTTGTTGAAAGACATGTTCATCACACTGTTGGAGTTATGGTTTGGGGTGCAATAGCTTATGGTTCCAGGTCACCTTTAATCTTCATCAGAGGTAACATGAACGCGCAGCGTTATATCCACGAAGTTCTAGAACCCCATCTTTTACCCTATCTTGACACCCTGGCAGATCCAACTTTCCAACAAGATAATGCCCGACCACATGTTGCAAGAGTCACAATAGACTTCTTTCAACATAATGATGTCACATTGTTACCATGGCCACCAAGATCTCCCGACTTATCCCCAATTGAGCACGTGTGCGATATGATGGATAGGAGATTGCTCAATTTGCAACGTCCTCCTCAGACTCTAGAAGCACTTCGAGAGGAGTTGGAGGTTGCCTGGAATGAGATACCACAGCAGGACATTGACCACCTGATCAGAAGCATGCCTAGGCGCGTTGGAGAATGCGTAGCACATCAGGGTGCATCCACACATTATTAAAGGTCAAAGGGCTTTAAAGCAGTGCAATCATTTTGAAATTTTTGTCATTTACTTATTATGCTTCATTAAGTACTTATACAAAATTTTATTAAAATAAAACTATTTAAACTGGGTGTTCTGATTTATATGTCACTTAGTATAAATATGGGTATTTCTCAGCAAATTGCGAAATTCATGTCCTGAGCTATTGACGCTAAGTTGCATGGATTAATCATCAATTTCACATTTTTATTAGATCAATTAATATCTACACTAATATTTTAAAAGAAAAATTTGGATAATATATTGACACAAAGAAAATACGATTAATTTATTAGTCCAAAAGTTATTCCCTCATCTCGTCCCTGGGTTCGAAATTAATAATGAAATGATGCAATAAAATCTGTTCATATTCTTATAAATTGAATATTACTAAAATATTGGGTAATAAGTATGGATTGTATAGTCAAGCTTTCATTGCTAAAAAGTAAATATGTATATAAAAAATCTATTTGAACATTATGTCCCTTGAAATGAAATCATTCCCTCACCCATTATAAATATTCGATTTCTGGTCAAACCATTTGATATTCTTCAAGGCAGCTGTTATGTCTTTAAAACTTGGAAATACTGCTAATACTGTCAACATGGCGAAATTTTGTAATAGTGAAAAGAGTTGCTGCAAAAAAGTATTAGATTTCAATAATTAGAATATTACATTTCTCTGTGTCACTGTTTATATTAAAAGGTAAGTCATGATATTGTTCGAATGTTTTAATGATTTTTTTCTTGTTTCGGGGAGTAAAATGCATTCACAAAATGCTAAATCAAGCTGAGGTGATGTACTGTAGGTTAAGGTGACGTGTATGCAAATCCATCATTTCTTCATGGTCATTCCCTCACTATATTAGCAAGTGATCGAATGACAAATATGTGAGGGAATGATTTTGGCATATATAAAATTGCGGTTTGACTGTTATTGTTAAACTCCAGGTTGTACATCATGCGTTTTCAATTTTAAGAGGTATCCGTATACCAAGAATGGGGAAAATTAAGAAGTTAAGTGAAGAAGAAAGGAAATTACTAAAGTAGGAGTACAACAGAAAGAGGCGAGAACAAATGAAAAGTAATGCTGAGTCTTTAAAAGCTTTGCGTAAAAAATAAAGATTGAAGTATTATTCTGAGTGCAAGAGAAGCTAGCCAAAAAAGAAAACAATGAAAAATAATAGTAAAGTTTATACGGAAAATCGAGTTACATTACAAACAAGGTTACGGAGAATAGTTGAAGAAACACCCCTACCAAGCCCTGCACCATCTTTACAGCACAAAGCAGAGAATTTATCTGCTCTCAATAGACGTAGAATGCGCAAGCGGCAAGCTATTCTGTACGCGAAGATTAAAAGTTTGGAAAATAAAGTAACAAACGCAGTCAAGCTTAGTGAAAAATACAATAAGAGGTATTTGAGATTGAAAACTAAAAATATTGACCCAAGCTCTCCAGCAAAGTTTCTTTGCTTTTAAAGAATATACAAGTTCCTGACGTTGAAAGAAAAAGACTCATTTTCGGAGAAGCACTGTTAACGGACCTCAAGAGTAACTATGAAGATCTTGGAAGTAAACATGGAGAAAGGAAAAAATATTACAAAATGTTGAAGATGCAATTAGTGCGAAAATAAGAATTGCTAGAGAGATCGAAACATTTTTTCAAAAACGATACGTACAAAATGAACCGTACTCGTAAATGCTGAACGTTAAGGGTGATGTTAATTTCTTAGAGAAGGATGAAAATACGAGAGTGCGCCCAGGGAAGAAGGACTATCTAAGCTCTCTGAAGTATAAAACAGATCTCAATACATCTATTAATAAATTAACTTATGTTTTTTATTGAAATTCAGCATTAAATTGTTGTAAAAAACTTTCCCACATCCTATCAGTAATTCCCTCATTTCATAGTTTTTTAAAAGTCATTTTTCTACATGTTATACACAAAAATATGGAGGACCATTTTAAATGAACCTCACTAAAATAAAACTTTATATTTCTGCAAGAAAAGGATATATTTTCATTATTTTTTTTTAAGAAATGCAAAATATAATTTCTAAATTTGTTGAGATCTCTGCTTGAGTGAGACAATTCTTCAAATCCCGTATCTTCAATGAAAAACGGATCACTTCCTTCTAGCATCTCCGTTCTTTCTAGATTTCCCACTCTGGCTGCTCCCAGTCTATCTTTTTCGCTCACTGTCAGTAATTCGATTGCAATTAGCTCAAACATCATTGCGATGCTTTGGGTTATTAGAAATATAAATCCAAAACATGTTGAGCCCACACATCAAAATACCCCGAGACATAACCACACTAACTACACTGTTACCAGCGTGACATGCTAAAGTGTTACCGAGTTTCCCAGAAAGTGAGTCATAGAGTCGCAGAATGCCCATAAACCTCACTATCGACAACGAGAATAGAAACCTATTGTGACATCTTGTATGAAAGTTTGTTGTATAATTCTTTACTACCTTAGGTAGTCCACCATCTTCTTCCTGGGCATATTGCAAAGCTCCCGTTGCCGCTCTAGCAGCTCCTTCAGTTCAATTGCAGATTGTGTGTCTTTACCTCTGCACCAATAGAATGCCTCTTCCGCCATATCAATCTTCTGTACTTTGGCGAGGAATGTTGGAGACTCTGGTGCTGGTATCATTATTAGGATGCAGATTATAGGAAAGATGCAGCCAACCAGGGCGGTTCTTTGCCAAGGAATGTAGGCACCAAGTATATGAGCGATACATACTCCTGAAACGGAAATACAGTGCAGGGTCGACTACAAGTCAAGAATGTTTTTGGTTTTATTTTGTCAGCATTTTATCTATATCATGTCGTTGTTGATTGTTGGAGTGGTCTGGTTGAGCTTTGCCTTTCTGTTGAAGTACTTGCAAGCTGGTCGGGTGCGATAACCCAATAAGTAGATATTGTAAAGTAAATACGGAAAGAGAGATAAAGGATATAAGGAATAAAGCAAGGTTGATAGTAATGGAAACCTATAATGATAATGGAAGTTTTTGTTGACTCAACCAAAAAAAAAGTTTGGTTGAGTTTCCTTTATACTAGAAACGCTTTTACCGTAGTCTTGTGTCTTTGAGGTAATACAATAACAGTAGTCAATCACTTCTAAGCATGATTAACTGTCCTCGAGCAAAACAACTCCAACTCCAAACTGCACTCTCTTTACCGAAACATCGTATTTAGCTTTTGTGACCTTGATCAGGACAATATAAGGGATATTTACAAACCTATGGCCATAGCAACTGAGATAAGCGCCAACGTCACTCCTCTGAACTTAGGGTCAGCCGTTTCTGCACAGTAAACTCCTGTTGGTGCTCCTAGTAGCCCCAAGCAGTACCCAGTAACGAATCTTCCAATCAGAATTACTGTTAAAGACGAAGAGGATAGGGCAATGGCCAACCAACCAACGAAGCAGGGTAGACAGCACCATATGTGGATAGCACGTCTACCGATCAGGTCCATGAGCCATCCTCCAGAAACGCAGCCGATTGGTGTTGGTAGAGCAGAAATTGATGCTGAAAAGGAGCAGAAGCTGCTAAAGTCATTTCGACCGCGACATATACTAAGTGACATATAAATCCGAACACCCAGTTTAAATGGTTTTATTTTAATAAAATTTTGTATAAGTACTTAATGAAGCATAATAAGTAAATGATAAAAATTTCAAAATGATTGCACTGCTTTAAAGCCCTTTGATCTTCAATAATGTGTGGATGCACCCTGATGTGCTACGCATTCTCCAACGCGCCTAGGCATGCTTCTGATCAGGTGGTCAATGTCCTCCTGTGGTATCTCATTCCAGGCAACCACCAACTCCTCTCGAAGTGCATCTAGAGTCTGAGGAGGACGTTGCAAATTGAGCAATCTCCTACCCATCATATCCCACACGTGCTCAATTGGGGATAAGTCGGGAGATCTTGGTGGCCATGGTAACAATGTGACATCATTATGTTGAAAGAAGTCTATTGTGACTCTTGCAACATGTGATCGGGCATTATCTTGTTGGAAAGTTGGATCTGCCAGGGTGTCAAGATAGGGTAAAATATGGGGTTCTAGAACTTCGTGGACATAACGCTGCGCGTTCATGTTACCTCTGATGAAGATTAAAGGTGACCTGGAACCATAAGCTATAGCATCCCAAACCATAACTCCAACAGTGTGATGAACATGTCTTTCAACAAAAAACTGTGGATTCTTCCTTTCACCACGTCGCCTTCTAACCCTGGCACGACCATCGTGCATGCCTAAACAAAATCGAGACTCGTCACTAAAGACAATACTGTTCCATTCCTGATCCCAGAGTGACCGTTGTCTGCACCACTCAAGGCGATTACGTCGGTGTTCTCGAGTTAAAGGGAGGACCCAGTGTGGCCGGTATGAAAACAAGCCAAACTTCTCATTCGTCGGTAAATACTTCGCATGCCAATAGGCCTTCCGTGTTCTGCAAACGAATTCATTTGCAATGGACCTGGTAGTGAAGAAACGGTCCCTTAAGGCCAATAATCTTAGGCGGCGGTCTTCACGGTCTGTTGTTCTACGGCGGCGTCCAGTGCCCCTTGCTCTTTGCGTACGGCCTTCTCGAAGCCATGCCTGACAACACCTAACCACAGTGTCTACACTTCTTTGCACTCTAACTGCAATTGCCCGAAAAGAAAGTCCAGCTTCCCGAAGTCCCACTATACAGCCCCTATCAAACTCACTAAGTTGACGAAGTAGTACAGGTCTCCGTACTCTAGGCATGGTAACCGATCGTAAAGGATGTCAAGAACCAAAATCCGCCAACGTTGATTCTTTACTGCGGCTGAAATATTCATTTTTAGAGCGTTAGTGAATTAAAAAAAGCAGATAAAAACCGGAATGTCCAACTGATAAGGCTGAAAATTTTTTCACTTGTTATTTACAGTAAGATAAATACATTCACCAACTTTTATTAAAATAAAACCATTTAAACTGGGTGTTCGGATTTATATGTCACTTAGTATAGTTTGTAAGATGTGATGTACTATGGTTCGGCATTTTGCTACTAAATGTGGTGAGATATATCACCTAACGAATCCTATAGGTAACAAGAAACCCTTTGAACAATTTGCTGAAAAGCTGAAGCACCTGAAAAGGTTTCTTTCGAGCACGTCGGGTCTGTCAAAGTTACTTGATACTTTTTTGATGTATACTAAGTGACATATAAATCCGAACACCCAGTTTAAATGGTTTTATTTTAATAAAATTTTGTATAAGTACTTAATGAAGCATAATAAGTAAATGATAAAAATTTCAAAATGATTGCATTGCTTTAAAGCCCTTTGACCTTTAATAATGTGTGGATGCACCATGATGTGCTACGCATTCTCCAACGCGCCTAGGCATGCTTCTGATCAGGTGGTCAATGTCCTCCTGTGGTATCTCATTCCAGGCAACCATCAACTCCTCCTGAAGTGCTTCTAGAGTCTGAGGAGGACGTTGCAAATTGAGCAATCTCCTACCCATCATATCCCACACGTGCTCAATTGGGGATAAGTCGGGAGATCTTGGTGGCCATGGTAACAATGTGACATCATTATGTTGAAAGAAGTCTATTGTGACTCTTGCAACATGTGGTCGGGCATTATCTTGTTGGAAAGTTGGATCTGTCAGGGTGTCAAGATAGGGTAAAAGATGGGGTTCTAGAACTTCGTGAATATAACGCTGCGCGTTCATGTTACCTCTGATGAAGATTAAAGGTGACCTGGAACCATAAGCTATAGCACCCCAAACCATAACTCCAACAGTGTGATGAACATGTCTTTCAACAAAAAACTGTGGATTCCTCCTTTCATCACGTCGCCTTCTAACCCTGGCACGACCATCGTGCATGCCTAAACAAAATCGAGACTCGTCACTAAAGACAATACTGTTCCATTCCTGATCCCAGAGTGACCGTTGTCTGCACCACTCAAGGCGATTATGTCGGTGTTCTTGAGTTAAAGGGAGGACCCAGTGTGGCCGGTATGAAAACAAGCCAAAACTTCTCATTCGTCGGTAAACACTTCGCATGCCAATAGGTCTTCCATGTTCTGCAAACCATTCATTTGCAATGGACCTGGTAGTGGAGAAACGGTCCCTTAAGGCCAATAATCTTAGGCGGCGATCTTCACGGTCTGTTGTTCTACGGCGGCGTCCAGTGCCCCTTGCTCTTTGCGTACGGCCTTCTCGAAGCCATGCCTGACAACACGTAACCACAGTGTCTACACTTCTTTGCACTCTAACTGCAATTGCCCGAAAAGAAAGTCCAGCTTCCCGAAGTCCCACCATACGGCCCCTATCAAACTCACTAAGTTGACGAAATCGTACAGGTCTCCGTACTCTAGGCATCGTAACCGATCGTAAAGGATGTTAAGAACCAAAATCCGCCAACGTTGATTCTTTACTGCGTCTGAAATATTCATTTTTAGAGCGTTAGTGAATTAAAAAAAAGCAGTGTAAAAACCGGAATGTCCAACTGATAGGGCTGAAAATTTTTTCACTTGTCATATACAGTAAGATAAATACATTCACCAACTTTTATTAAAATAAAATCATTTAAACTGGGTGTTCGGATTTATATGTCACTTAGTATATTTGATGTTCAAAAGCAAAGTCGCGTGATATTGACTTTTGATAAGCATGAGGTATTATTTCCTTGCTGAAAGTATTAGTGAAGGTCATGGTGTCATTTGAGGTTTTACGTTTTTTTTCACCAGATACTAATATATACAAGTGTGACTCACCAATCCAAGTAGAAGTTGATACATCCATAGCTATATCCCCTTCTTTTTCTAACTGTGGAATTAGAACAGCTGAATATCCTTCAACCATGCCTAAGCTGATTGATATTAGTAATGGTCCTAGTGCGACGTAGCTCTAAAAGAAACTTGAATAAGAGATTTGTCGTTGTCAAAGCTCAATGTCTTGAGAACGGTGTGTATAATAATAAAATGTATACAACGATATAGACCTGTCTGACCCTTGGAGGGAACTGATATGCCCATCTGCGGAACGCTTGAATCGCAGTATCGCACAATTTCATGATTTATCCCTATTTTAGGCAGTTATTAGGCACATTAGTTACATGTTCATCTGAAGTAATCGTAATGAACTCAGGTTACTCGTATTTTAACAAAACGAGTGACGACGTTCCTTATCTAATACAGTATAATCTCATTGATGACATTATTATTATCTCTTGGCAGATTTTCCATTGTTTCTGGTGAAATCTGATTTTTTTTAAGATGAGATATTGGGACTCGGCAGTATTTCTTATATACATGGAGTTTCATAACAAATTTGGATAAGAAATTGAGAGTGTCTTAGATACAGTTGTAGTCACCGTTCTTGAAAAAGGTAAACAGAGTATCCGTACCATGGTCGGATCTTGATCTTCACAGCATCTGCTACCCTCACCAGTACGCATGACGTGAGTAACAGCGGACTGCTGTTTTCATTCATTTCCTGGAAATACTCTAATAAATTCTGCACGAGGGAGATATACAGTAATGGCCAAAAGTATATAGACAAATATCAATATATACCTCTAGAAAACGAACTCATACTTCATTGCTCCATAAACAAATGTGTTATTAGTAGAAAAACTAAATTCCTTGTTTTTACATTATCTGCAATAAGCACAATACAAGTCTGAATATAAGCACTTTTTTATGAGGGACAAAAATATGTATACAAATTCTTTCCAAGATTAGTTTAGTACAGTTTCGTGTCAGAAGAGGATTCGTTTGTGTTCATCAAGTATTGTGGAATAAGTTGAGTGATTTTAAGACCATGCCGCGTAGTCCAGAAATTTCTTTCGATGTGAAAACTAAGATCATTGAGTTATACAAAGAACGTCAACGTCAAGTCGACATTGTCAAAAATTTGCAGCTGAAGCATAAAGCGGTTTGGGCAATATTGAACAAATATAAACAATAAGGTATCTTGGAAGCCTTCAAGAGAAGTGATCGGCCTAGAAAACTAAATGCTAGATCAGTTAGATTAATAAAAGTAATTTCGTCCGAAGATCCATTTAAAACCCCAAGACAAATAAAAGCCGAAATCGAGGCAAAAGGAATTGTCAGTGTTTCTACGAAAACTACAAGTAGAATATTAAATGATTTGAAGTTGTTTGCACGTCGCCCGAGTAAGAAGCCGCTAATCTCGAGGAAAAACCGCAAAGACCGATTACAATTTGCACGGCTGCATCTTGATTGGAGCATCTGTGACTGGAGGTGGGTATGTTTCAGGGACAAATCAAAGTTCAATATGTATGGGTCAGATAGTTAGACGTCCTGGTGGACAAAGATTGAACCCGAGGTACACTTTGCCCACTGTCAAACATGGAGGCGGGTCTGTTAGGGCTTGGAGGTGCTTTTCGATGTTTGGGATGGGACCTCTACATAGAATAGATGGCATTATGGATAAGTTTGTATACACAGACATACTAAATCATGTCATGTTGCCCTATATGCCCTTAAGATCAATCTTCCAGCAAGATAATGACCCGAAGCACACTTCAAATCTCGCAAAGAAATTCTTTCTGGATGAAAAATACCAGTTCTTAAATGTCCTTCACAGTCTCCCGAAATAAGCCCCATTGAAAATCTATGAGAATACTTAGATAAGAAAATACGAGATAAAAATTATTCAAACAAGGATAAACTTTTTGCCGCTTCAGAGCAAAAGTGGAGACAGATTGATAAATCTTATATCGAGAAACTTCTACATCTAGATGAGACGATGCCAGGCGGTGATTGATAATAATGGTTATGCTACAAAATATTAACACAAACATGGTTGGTTTTCTATAATTCAATGAACTTTGCTTCTTTTTTCTATAATTGTTTTGCTTTGTTTATATATTTTTGTCCTTCATAGTTCCAGCTTGTTTATTCAATTAATTTTATATTGAAGGGAGTCTAATGAATTTATGTATAAGTGAGTATTATGCTATAACGAATTATGTATACAGGTTGGTGTATTAATAGATCAAGTTGAAAAAGAAATACAGCACAATATTAATTTGTCTATATACTTTTGTTCATTATTGTATATAGGGTGTATATAGAGCGGATCGTTTTAAACAATTTATCATTGGTAACGATTAGGTGCGCAACTCTATGATTAGCCAGAATTGTCGCTGGGTGTAACTCAGCAAGAAATGGCCCTTTTATGCTTGAAGGGGAACTAGGTCAGAGACCAAAAGCTTGTGGTTTTTGTTTAAAGCTGATCATATCTAGTCATTCGAAAGAGTTTGGGAAGATCGAGAAGCAAATATAATTTTTCATTAATGACGATTAATGACTTTACGTAGGGCAGAATAATTTTAAGATATTCTAAGCATCGCTTATATTCTGAGAGATACTTATACCGGGTGTGGCAACTTTGAACCTCACCATTGCGATCCCGGAAACGGTAAAAAATACGAAGTTGCTCAACCCTTTCAGTACGGCTGAGAATTTATACGTCAGTTATAGAATATACCCACCGGCCGGCTGACGTATATATCCGACATCGATAAATTACATCTATTGGCCTACTGCCTTATAGATGCGACACCTTTAGAAACTTGCATTTTACCACAGACGAGCGTCGTGATATTATGTCAACGTTTCGCTCACCGCTTAGCCGGACAACGGAAGATTTTGGCTTGGCCGAAAATTTAAGACATCCGGATACACTGTCTTACGTCTGTATCATGTTTGCGATTTTTGAAACCGAGCATTAGACTGTGATTAGTCTTACATAAGATGGCGGAGGAAGAGCGCGCTGGTCCCTCTGAAAGGCCTACACGTGGCCAAAAGCGTAAGCAACAACAACAGCAAAACTACTTCATTTTGATCAGGGAAGTGCAAGGCTGACAGAACGGCATTTTCCGGAATTGGCTCCAAGAAAAGAGGGAAAGAAAACTGCCACTAGGAGATGCAGAGTCTGCTCCCAGTCGAAATCAGGAACGAAGAAAAGAAAGTACATGTGTAGAGAATGCGACGTTGGACTATGTGTAATGCCCTGACTTCAGATTTATCGTCAAGTAGCCGACTTAAAAAAATTAACTTGCTCGATGTTTTTTTTTGTTCAGTCCTGAGTTTTTTTAATATATTTTCAGCATTTAAATGTTTGATTTTTATTGAGTAATACAGTTTTGAAGCTACATTGTTCCCTGTATTACTGTACTTTAACCTTTATTATGGTGACGTATATATACCTCATCAGGCGCCCAGACAATGCAAAATGAGTCGCCGGTGGTGACAGTACAGTTACAAAAGGTGCCGTACTGAAAGGGTTAAATGGGGAAACGCTGCGTGTTCCGCCAGCCGATTAGAAAGAAACTAAAAGAAGTTCCGGGGAGAGAAAAAACGAATTTTCCCAAAACTGTTTCATTTTTTCGTGGCCGTAGTAGGATTTTAAAATAAATTGTACATTGACATCGTTAGTTTCTCTCTTTTAAAGGTGGCATAATAAGAAGTCCAATATGACATTTTGTCCCTTATCCTTCAGCATCAACTTATTTTTTTCTTATTAACGCCATATTGGGTTTTTGCGCAGAATGTTAGATTTCTAGTTCTTAATATTAATGTCTTATTTTGACATTGCCAAATCTTAGTCATACCAGAAAGACAGAAGTGCCTAGGTAGGCTTACTTATGTATGATTACTGTTGTTATTGCCACCAATAAAATTTTTATTTTGTGTTCAAGTTTTACCATACCGTTGTATTTCCTTATAATTTTCATCCGACAACAAGTTCATGTCCAAATGAGGAAATATTTTAATAAATTCAGGACTGAAAGGTCTATTTAAATGTACAAAATCCCAATATAACGTCCATACGGGAAAACGAGGTTGGTGATGGAACTCGGAAGAAGAAACCTCATCAAATTGAAAAATTGACTACGCTTTGTTTCTCCATTTATTTTAAAATTTCATCTTAAATAAATTCAGACAAAAATTACAATGATTTTGGGACAAATCTGACGCGAAACGAATGACTACCTGACTTAACTGAATTTCAAAGCCTACCTAGGAAACACTGCAATTCTGAAATAACTGAAGGTTTCGCAATTCCAATGTATAGCATGTCACACTTTTTTGGAATTAGAATTAAGAACTCTATCAATTTGTGGAAAAGTCCAGTATGACGTCCATAATAAAAAATAAAGTTGAGGCTGACAAGAGGCGAAACGTTATATTGAAGTTCTGAGTATGCCATTATCTTATACAGGAGAAAAAGAAAATCGATTTGTTCCGTCTTCAGATGTAGTATAAAATTTGAAACTTTCTAGGCGAAATCCGTCTAATTACCCAAATATGCAACATTGTCCCCACTTAAGCGACTTTGTATCTCTTACCGTTTCCGAGATCCCGATGGCGAGAGTCGAATTTGAAACACCTGATATAGTAAATATAACGTATCAACTGGACATATTCCCTTATTTCTGCTATTCCTGTTAAACTCATACCAGAGATATCCGTCTCTCTGTACTTCATCTTCAAGCTTGACTGAACTAACTATACCTTTTATTTCAGAACCAGCCACGCCAGTCGTCTTGACCAGCTCTCAGTCCACCTGCACTAGACATCCCCTCCCTCCGGAGGTATCGCGACCTTGAAACATGCGCCTCGCCTGAACGACCGCCCTCGTCCGTAACGGGGGCGAGGGGGCGGTGCCTTGGAGCCATGGGCGGCGGGCGGGTGATTGCGCTGTTGCTGGTGCTGCCCGTCTTCGTATACTGCGACACTGCTGGTTTTATGAAGAGCGCTAAGATCAGCACGCGAATCGTACAGACTCGATACGGACGGTTACAGGGGCTGATCGTTCCTATGGACACGCATCGGTGAGTAATAAGCAATTAGTGATACAGTACGGTGACCAATCAACCAACTAATCATTCAATACGTTAATGAGTCATTGCAATCAACCAATAAAATGTAGACATTTCAATCAAGCATTGAATCAACTTGAGCACAAAATATGTATAATATATATATACTGAAGAAGGTTTAATTCCGTGCTATTCAATGGCGACACGCTGACTTATCTAGTGGCCCATGATTGCCAGATTGTGCATTCATGCTGCGCAACGTTTCCAGCTCTACATAAAAAATATGAGATTGCTATATTTTATATGTGGAAATTTGGTGGTATATGGAAGATCTTATAACAGCATATGCTATGAACACTTTGCGCTATCTTGACGAATCAGTGTGTTTTGTACCAAATCTTGGAAAATTCTGCAAGTTGTACACAAGAGCAAGCAAACTTTAAGATGCAAACGAATTCCCAGAAGAGCCTCCTGTCACCGCCCTGTGGACAACATTTGGCATCGATTTTGTTGAAATTATAGTGAGCTTTGCATATTTATCCTGCTGCTCTGAAAATAGTTGATTGGAAATGAAATATGTAACTTATACAGGGTGTTCCATAATTATTGCGACAAAATGATAGGGGTTGTAGAGGGCATCAAAATGAACAATTTTGCCTTATAAACCCCTGTTCGGAAATATGCCGTTTGGGCTGCAGCAAAAAAAAAGATCAATTTCTTGAAACAGCTTACCTACAGTAATTGCTTAAAGTGTCCTCCACCTTGCTCAATACACAGCTGTGCACGATTGTTCAATGATCGGCGAACTCTGTGGCATACTCCCGGTATGTCCTGAACATGTGCGGACGCGTCCATCACTCTTCCCAGTAGCTCTTGTTGGTTGGGAACAGGAGTTTCGTACACTAAAGCTTTCAGATGTCCCCAGAGAAAATAATCCAGTGGGGTTAGGTCGGGTGACCGCGCAGGCCAAGGCACAGGGCCACCTCGGCCTATCCACCTATTTGGAAATTTGTCGTCCAAATACTGCCGCACTTGTAAAGAAAAGTGGGCTGGAGCGCCATCGTGTTGAAACCACATGTTGGCTCTTATGTTCAGTGGCACATTTTCTAATAGTTCCGGTAGCTCATGCTGTAAGAATCGACCATAAGCATGCCCATCCAAACGTGGTGGAAGCAAATATGGCCCGATGATTTGCTCGTCCACAATGCCGCACCAGATGTTAATTGAAAACTGATGTTGGTCTCTATGGATGGCTATGGCATGAGGGTTTTCTTCATCCCAAAAGTGACTGTTACGGCTATTAAAATAACCGTCCGTTGTAAAACAGTACTCGTCAGTGAACAAAACGTAGCAACCAAAGTTTGGTTGCCTCAACTCCTGCTGCAGCCACCAACGACAAAAATGTCGACGCGGCAGATAGTCTTCTGGACCCATGGCTTGGACTTTTAAAAGGTCGTATGGGTGTAGTTGCTGGTCATGGAGAACCCGCCAAACAGTAGTATGAGACGCTCCCATATCATGTGCGCGTATACGCGGATTGACCTCTACATGATGCAGAATCGCTTCCTCAAATTCTACTGGGCGCTTCGTGAAGGGCCGCCCTGCTCCCGCGAGGTGTCTGATGCTGCCACTGACACGAAGACGTCCATGAATCCTTGCAAAAATGGCGTGATGCGGATGAGGACGTTCTGGAAACCGCTGGGCGTAGATTCGCGTTACCACCAGCTTCTCCGTAAATTAAATGCATATCCGCACGTTCCGCACACGAATAACGCTGCATTTTAACACTAAGGTACTGTTATTTACTATCTAGTTTGACGCACCACTCAGATAAATTAAATGAATCGGTGTGGAGAATTTACGATAACAAAAATGTAAACACAGCAGGCTTTTTTTACAAACCTTCGAGACCATGAAATGTGCTAGACGAACATTTTGCAGCTGGTGAATTTTTTGTTTCTCCTATGAGCTCTTAAGGTAAAATTAGCGGTAGTGCTCAAACGGCATATTTACGAACAGGGGTTTATAAGGCAAAATTGCATATTTTTATGCCCTCTACAACCCCTATCATTTTGTCGCAATAATTATGGAACACCCTGTATATTGTAATCGCGAAATATCTTTTGGCGGTAGTGTCTTTATAATTTTCTTGTCCCAGTAATTCTATGCGACTATAGAGCATATTCCACGCATATATTTCTCCGTATATTTGACCTTGAGGCTCAGACTGAGAAGTATTTTTACGAGTATAAAGTGCAGCTATCTGCATTCACGCGACGAATTTGTTACCTGAACAGTTGTCAAGATGTCAACGATGCCAGGCGATGTAACAATTGCAACTACCACGGCAATATAATTTATTGATTATATACGCAGCCAGACTCGATGGAAACATTGGAGCTGTAGATTCAGATGTAAATTAACGAATAGGCCTGGGTGTACTATTAGCTGTTGGTCAAAAGTAAACATACCAGAATATAAATAAGCGATTCAAAGTCCACAATTTAAATTTTGGCCAAATCAACAATACTTTTCTTCACTGATACTCACTCTAATATATGGCCTCATGTCAGGGCATACCTATAGATGGTTATATCCGGCGAACAACAACAATACCAGAGGGTACAAAAGTTAACTCTTATTGTATACATGGTGGATATTTATGCAGAGTCCAATTGTCCAGAGTTGCATAGGAAATGCACACAGTCTACTTGACACGTCTTTTTCGCTTTGGAACCTTTGCGTTCTAGGTGGACAATGTTGAAATTATTTTAGGTATAGATTAATATTTAAATACCTGATTTTCAATCACCTTAATTAATCAAGGCCAATATTCAGCCAGAGCTACACCACATTACACACAGGCATTATATCGTCAGAGGTTTGCGTGGAAAGTGCTGCAATACTAGCGATACAAGAGGATTCTTTTGTAGAAGTCATTTTTCAAAATCATTCGGTATATACTGTAATTGCAACCTACAAGTATCAAAAGGAATATTCTTTAAAAGCTCAAGTAAATTATTATTTTCGAAAAGATGGTTCCCTTTACCTTTTGAGCAATTTGAGAGAGTGGAGTTAGTGTGAGAGAAATGTATATATGTATAGGTCTGTAGGATAATGCCATTTTCGGATACTCAGAATCCGTATTCACTTTTCCGTTAGAATTTCATTGAGAGCTGGCTTCACCTCCTTGGAAACTGCCACGGCAAGGAGGATCCGCCAAAAGTGTGGTAACCTTATGACAACAAAAGTTATTCTCAAAACTGGTCACACAGCTGTCTAACTGCGTGGAATATGACACGATTCAGTTCAGTAACAAAACAGAAATGTGAGCTTGGAATTTAAGTCCTTTCTAACTTCAAATTGCAGGCTTTACTTAGCGCTCGTGAACAAATCAATATCTACAAATCGATCAGTCAATCAAATATGGAATAGATTGATCAAAAATACCATTAGTGATAGGCGAGTTAACCAAGGACCATTGGCTTAGACAAACACGCGAACCAATCAACTGACCAACAATCCATCGATTAATGTTTCAACTTGTTTAATCAATCATGAATTCAATCAATGTATCGATCACTCAGACATTGAACCAGTTATCCCATCATCCATTCAATCAAGAGGTAAATCATCAACCAATCAGTCGATCAAGTAATGGATGACCTTATGCTACTCCTCACCGTCACTGTATCCAGAAAACTACAAAATGATCATCAGAATCTTGTAGACCCTAACAATTTTGAAGATATTCAGAATATTATTCAACGCTTCATAAAAACAAATGACTCGCCAAAGGTTAATCCTTAAGTTTGTAAGCTTCTTGTACTTCAGAATCTAGAAATCTTCCTGCAAACTAGATTGGTGGTACCCTATTATATAAATACAGCGTTTTTGAAATTGTCAAAAATTCATTTTTGTAACCAGGAAAAATCCCTTTGAGTATAACGCCTGGTACATCTAAACACCAGCATTCATTTTCCTAAGTATATTTCACTGCTCAAAAAAAAAATAGGTAAATTGTTTTGTTTGTTGATGGCTCAGTATCAGTGACAAGCGTGCATGCATATTATTTGTGTACATTTTGAGAGATGTAGACAACATAGACAATGCGTGTACAGTGTAGACAATGTGTACAATGATGCGGGCAACATAGAGAATAGCATCAAAAAGGTTAAGATTACTCGCATGCGTGGTAGACATGAAGAAATGTCTAGGTGGATTTCCATATATCCAGTGCGGGTCAAACTCTTCTTTTCCCTTCTAGATTTCCATGTATTTGAGAGAAAAACGCGAGAGAAGCGTTTTGCTAGGTAGCAACAGTGTGGCGTAGTTAAAGCCGCGCCCTTTCCCACAGCTGTTGCCAGACAACGTGGTTACGACGCTTGCATGGCACACTATTTATAACACGCTTGTCTTGCTTCTCTCTCTCTCTCTCTCTCTCGCATATATAGAAATCTAAAAAATCTAAAATCACATTATAAATATCTATTTTTGTATTCTGTGTCTTTCCCAGTTATTAGAAAGCCACCTTTACACGCGTTGCAGGTACGCAAGTGATCCAGCTGAACTACAGTCCTCTGTTGCCTGCGTAAATATCAAGACTTAGACAAATGGTCCCGTACACACGTAGACAATGGTGTATTACACAGTACATGCTCGTCACTTCTCAATATCTATCAATACAGCTTTTAGCATTGACACACTATAACCCTGTATTTCATGGGATGCTAAAATTTTGCAATACTAAACTGCTTGCTGTAAATCTCACCGCTAGATGAAGGGGAAATAAAATTTATATTTCCAAGTAAACAACATTACACATCCGTTTATGATCCAGACAGACATGGAGTGAATGCTAAACAGGTTATACAAATTTAAAGACGCGCGGTAAAGTTCAGGGGGAACGTAATCTCAATCAGAGGCTCTCTGCGCCGTAACTTCCCTAACTCCGGTACAACAAACGCCATAACAAGCATCAAGTTACCTAATGTAGTTTAATGTCACTTCAGAGGACTTATGAACTCGAAGCCATGAGGCAACATCCGTATCCGAAGGCTGCTGAATTATAATTACGTGATACTAGCATCAAGATGGTATGACGTTTCGCGATTCTGAGCTAGATGCACCTAGGTAACTGGATCTTGTGCAATATGCTCTGTGACCTATGAAGAAGCTCAATTAAACAGATTCTCGTAGCAACACAGTCGGCTAGGCTATCTAGGAGTCCAGAAAAAACTAACCATATAGAGCAATTTCACAACGGAATCATGTTTTTCAGAGTTAATGAGAGGGCGCCCAGAAAGTTTAATCGATATCATTTTTAATAACTGTAAAAATATCCTTGATTTATCTGAACACGCGAGCACAGTGTGACATCTATTACCAGAATTAACCACTGTTAGGGTGAACTTCAGCTACCTTTTAGAGCTAGAAGTATATCAGTTCACGCTTGGTAGTCAAGTCATCACTGTGATCGTTAGATGCCGTTAGCTCCAGCGAATATGACGATAATAATAACAATAGCAATGATATTGACTCTATGGATCCAGGCGAGAAATCAGCTTAAACTCTGCTTTTCATTTAAGTTAGGCTTACAATGTAGTTACAACAATGGACGCGCACATATTTTAAAAAGCTATAGCAATATAGAAAGACAAAATAAAGAACAAAATAGTACAAAGAAAACAAGAATCAGTTCAACAATTAAAGGTAATTGTATGACAGTATGCAATCTAAGGAGCAAAGTCAAATATTTGAGTGTTAAAATTACAAAATACAAAATAAAATGAAAAAATACCTTAGCTTAGCATGAAAGCATTAATATCACAACAAGTCGTGAAATAATATGTTCTCTTACTTTTTCATTTAAATGAAAATACAACAAACGTTTAACAGAAGAGCATTATAAGCCTTGACGTTTGGTTGAGCGAAACATCTAGTAAAGGCAGAAGCCTTATGTTTGAAAATTTTCAAGGTATGACCCACAAGTCTTAACCTCACATTGCGCAGTTCATAACTGAGGAATAGCTTATTGCTAGAGATATACAGGTGTTTTATTATAAAGAACCGAACGCACCATTTTAGGTAAATAAGCAGTCCACGTCTGCCTCAAATTCAGTCAATTTACAGTTCTGATATGTGTTGAGATTCTCTGCCTGAAGGGGATACCTAAAATACATCGCAAGAATCTGTACTTCCTGGAGTGCGATTCGTTTTTGGTTACGCTCAGACCGTACTGATCAGCATACTCAATTTTGATTAATGTTAAAGGAGCACAAAAGAATATAGCATATTTCTAAGCCTGTACATACGTTTTAGCTTACTATAGATGGGATACCTTTCACTACATTACGAGATAGTGAACAATTTTTCATCAAAAATAACACCGAGGTTGCGTATATCTACCGTATGCGTCAAAGTCTCCCCATTAATTGACAATCTATTGCTGACTTGCTTCAGATTTATAAATATACTAAGTGACATATAAATCCGAACACCCAGTTTAAATGGTTTTATTTTAATAAAAGTTGGTGAATGTATTTATCTTACTGTAAATAACAAGTGAAAAAATGTTCAGCCTTATCAGTTGGACATTCCGGTTTTTATACTGATCTTTTTTAATTCACTAACGCTCTAAAAATGAATATTTCAGCCGCAGTAAAGAATCAACGTTGGCGGATTTTGGCTCTTGACATCCCTTATGATCGGTTACGATGCCTAGAGTACGGAGACCTGTACGATTTCGTCAACTTAGTGAGTTTGATAGGAGCCGTATAGTGGGACTTCGGGAAGTTGGACTTTTTTTCGGGCAATTGCAGTTAGAGTGCAAAGAAGTGTAGACACTGTGGTTAGGTGTTGTCAGGCATGGCTTCGAGAGGGCCGTACGCAAAGAGCAAGGGGCACTGGACACCGCCGTAGAACAACAGACCTTGAAGATCGCCGCCTAAGATTATTGGCCTTAAGGGACCGTTTCTCCACTACCAGGTCCATTGCAACTGAATAGTTTGCAGAACACGGAAGACCTATTGGCATGCGAAGTGTTTACCGACGAATGAGAAGTTTTGGCTCGTTTTCATACCGGCCACACTGGGTCCTTCCTTCAACTCGAGAACACCGACGTAATCGCCATGAGTGGTGCAGACAACGGTCACTCTGGGATCAGGAATGGAACAGTATTGTCTTTAGTGACGAGTCTCGATTTTGTTTAGGCATGCACGATGGTCGTGCCAGGGTTAGAAGGCGACGTGGTGAAAGGAGGAATCCACAGTTTTTTGTTGAAAGACATGCTCATCACACTGTTGGAGTTATGGTTTGGGGTGCTATAGCTTATGGTTCCAGGTCACCTTTAATCTTCATCAGAGGTAACATGAACGCGCAGCGTTATATCCACGAAGTTCTAGAACCCCATCTTTTACCCTATCTTGACACCCTGGCAGATCCAACTTTCCAACAAGATAATGCCCGAACACATGTTGCAAGAGTCACAATAGACTTCTTTCAAGATAATGATGTCACATTGTTACCATGGCCACCAAGATCTCCCGACTTATCCCCAATTGAGCACGTGTGGGATATGATGGGTAGGAGATTGCTCAATTTGCAACGTCCTCCTGAGACTCTAGAAGTACTTCGAGAGGAGTTGGTGGTTGCCTGGAATGAGATACCACAGGAGGACATTGACCACCTGATCAGAAGCATGCCTAGGCACGTTGGAGAATGCGTAGCACATCAGGGTGCATCCACACATTATTAATGTCAAAGGGCTTTAAAGCAGTGCAATCATTTTGAAATTTTTATCATTTACTTATTATGCTTCATTAATTACTTATTCAAAATTTTATTAAAATAAAACCATTTAATCTGGGTGTTCGGATTTATATGTCACAGTATAGTAATTCCTGTCTTCTTGCATTAAGAAATAATACATTTGCTTCGGAATTATTATTTGATAACTGATTTGTTGCTTGCTGAAAATTGTTAGAGCCATAAGACAGATATGTATGTATATCGTTTGCGTGAGTAATCACAGAACAGTATTTAATGCCAGTACTGCAGTCTCGAGCGAGAACGAAAAAAAGTATCAGCCATTAATCTAGATGTGGTCTAACTAATATTACCGCTTTCCTCCGCCCGACCACAGGCGATCAACCGTGTACATTTCCACCATTTGTCTCAGTTCGCCTTTCCAACTTCTTACAAATGCTTCAAATTACACAATTTGTACATACGAGTTGAAACTTAAACCGTCCAATATTGTCAATAAAATGATCTGGTGGTGCATCACTGATGTTGTACGTTGTTTTTGGTTACTACAATTTCTTATGGATGCTCTGGAAAAATACTTACCTAAACCGCCCGGCCGCATAGAATCCACCCAATTTGGACGATGAAGATGCTTTTTCACGTTCCGCTATTTCATCTATATCGATAACTAGTCGCTTTTTTTACTTCTAGGTACTTGAAACCAATCGAAGTGTTCCTCGGCGTTCCCTACGCGACTCCTCCAGTGTCGTCGAACCGGTTCTCCCCAACGCGGACCCCCAGTCCGTGGGAAGGGGTCAGAGTGTCCGACAAGCCGGGTCCCGTGTGCCCCCAAAGACTGCCGGACATTACCAATGAGACTGCGGCTTTGGAACGTATGCCCAAAGGCAGGTTGGAGTACCTCAAGAGGTTATTGCCGCTGCTCAGGAACCAGAGCGAAGATTGTTTGTACCTCAACATCTACGCGCCAGCTCAAGGTCAGTACAAATCCTTCAATCAATGAACCCTTTATTTCCGAGAGCGGCAATAGATGATAAGTAGTAGAACCATTTCTGAAACACACAAAATGCTTAAGAGCTAAGAAATTTAACAGCCACTACCTGTGACCACTGCAGGATAGAGACAGTCACTATAACAACTGCAACTTATCATGTACGTTTCACGCGGATAAGACTTACAGACGTTTCGGCCATCACGTTGGCCTCTTTCAAACTAGAATTGACAATGATAATATACTTTATTTTTATCTGTCTTCAAGGCGCATTCCTTTTTGTTTTTTTTCTCCGCTACTGTACAGTGTGTTGCAACAACAGCCAGGACAATCCGGTAGCATGTCGAGATCGCGGGAAGCCTTTATATCATTTTTAAGATGACACCGCACAAAATCAGTGAAACACAGGACTACCTGGAGTAAGCAATTCCACTCCCAAAAGACACCTAGCACCACTAAGCGGCAAGCCAGTATAATGTTAGCTGTTGGTTTTGAATGCGCCAGACACGTAACCCTCGCTTATCATCCCGAAAACGTCAAACATCCCCAGAGAACGCGTAATCGTCATGAGGCTTCAGTTATCAATGTTTGGTTGTGATGTGGTGTAAAATCTGCTTCAGAGATGGCATTACTGGAAAAATAGAAGTTACGGCAATGCATAAGTGCATAGTGAGGATTTGTTTGCTAATACTATGTGTTGATGATATTTCCATCGGATTCTTGTTCGTCAAAAGTGTTATAGACCATGTTCTTAGCGATTATGGTAGTAATGTAAGTTGTAGAGTCAGTGTTAAAGAAAATGCAATTTCGGATCATAAACTTATATTACTTGATATTAAAACATCTGTGCAGTTCCATAAACCAAAAGTTGATTATGAGGTAAAATCTGTAGATTATAAAAAATGTGTAAACTTATTTAGACAAAAAATTTTAAGCAAAAATGTAACAAATTTTCAAGAATTAATTAATTTAATTGAAGACTGCAAAAGTAAATCGGAATATATAAAAAAATTAAGAATACGTACAAATAACACCTGGATAAATAATGAAGTCCTTGAGCTTATAAAAAAAAGAGATAAATTATATAAAAGAAAGATTAACCAACCAGAAGGCTTAACTATCATCTCTGAATTTAAAAACATCAAAAATAAAATAAACAATAAAATACGTGCTTTGAAGAACCGTTATTTCCAAACTAAATGGAGCTTAGCTGGAAACAATGTAAAGGAACAATGGGCTTTTATAAACAGCCTAATAAAAAATAAGGAGTATAAAGTAAGGATTGATCAACTAGTAACTGAAAATAACATTATTAACACTCAACTTGATATTGCAAACAATTTAAATAAATACTTTTCTCGGGTCGGTGAATCAATTGTTGAAAATTTGGAAGCAGAGATTCAGCAGTTGAATGAGTTTATTTCTGTTGGTGAGGTTCACAACGAAGATTCTATTTCGATAACATTGACTAATAAAGAAGAGTTGTTGGAAGTTGTGAAAGAACTAAAAATAAACTCAGCACCTGGATATGACGGTATCACGGTTAAGGATGTAAATAATCTTGGAGAATACTTAATACCTGTTTTAGTACGATTAATCAATGAAACTATACAAAAAGGAATATTTCCATCAGAATTGAAAATAATTAAAATAACCCCACTTTTTAAGTCGGGAGATATTAAATGTATGAACAATTACAGGCCTATTTCAGTGGTGTGTGTATTCTCTAAGATTATAGAAAAATTAATAAAAAAAAGAATGTTATCTTTCATTGTTACTCACAATATATTGATTGATGAATTTCAATATGGTTTTATAACGAACAGTAGCACACTTAGTGCGGTTGTTGATTTTGTGGACTACATTTGAATAGCTCTAGATAAACAACAAATAGTTGTAGCTGTTTTCATTGACCTAAAAAAAGCTTTTGACGTAGTAAGCGTAGACATTCTTTTAGATAAATTGTTTAAAATGGGATTTAGAGGTGTTTCGTACAGCTTGAATAAGTCTTATTTATATGACAGAAAACAGTACATAAAGCTTGGAGACATTGATAGTGAATGGTTATCTAGCACCTATGGAGTACCACAGGGGTCAGTTCTTGGACCTCTGTTATACAGTCTTTATGTACTGAATCTCAAGTTGGCCAATCTGAGGGGAAGATATTTTACCTTTGCAGATGACACTGTACTGGTATATACTGGAACAGACGAAATTGCTTTAACGAATCTTATTAATGATGACCTGAATAGTTATCTTAAATGGCTGTTTTCGAATAGATTAAAAATTAACATTGAAAAAACAAAATACGTTATATTTAAACAAAAAAATAAGATAGTTAGCAATAATCTAAATATTAACATAAATAATATAGCGCTAGAAAAAGTGTCAAGTATTAAATATTTGGGATTACTGATAGACGAAAGTTTAAATTGGTCACTTCACGTAAATGGAATTTGTGATAAAATAGTTTCAATGCTATCTGCCTAATATAAGAGTCGAGATTATTTGTCCAACAAAAGCAAATTTCAAATTTATAATGCCTTCTTTCTTACACATTTTAGGTACCTCTCGCCAGTATGGGGTATGTGCGGTGAAGTTAATTTTAATAAAGCTCAAGTTTTACAAAATAAAGTTCTGAAAATATTGTTTAATTTTGATTGGCTTACAAGTTCTAATACACTTTATTCAAATTTAAATTTAAACAAATTAAGAGTGTTATTGGAGGTGGAACAATGTAAACTTGTTTATAAAATTATAAATAATCTACTAAAAAGTAACATAAATATTAGGTTCTACCATAACGTGCATGATCACCAAACAAGATCACTAAATAATGTTTATCAAATTTCCACAAGAACTAACATAGGTTTAAATAATCCGATCAAAGACGCAATTAAGAAATTTAATAATTTACCTCATTGTATAAAAGATTCAAATAACTATAGAAGTTTTGTTAGAGAATTGAAAGATTGTAAAAATGTTAATGAATTTATTTGTTGAAACTATGAGCAACATTGCAGTGTACCTGTAGTTCATAGATATTAATTATTGTCTTGTTATTCTCGGGGCCAGTGTTTGCAAACACTGATTAGGGAATTATTGTTAAAACTGGTTATACTTTTTGTATTATTGTGCTTAAATAAATTATTTCAAAAAAATATACTTACTTGAGATTCAAAGGTAGAAATTAGTTACGCATCCACTTCTTCTTATCCATTCTGGTAATTACATATGCAAATTTGCTGAATTTCAAAAATGAGAGAGATGAGAAATAATGATATTCACTGTAGACTGTCGAATTTCAACTCATATGCATGATAACACTAATTACGCACAACGCCGGCGCGGTGGTGATTTTCTGTAGTACACCTTAAAGTATTTGGAAACACAAAAAAATGGTGATTTATAACTTTGTACATAACCTATCTTCAGAAACGACAACATGCAAATAACCCGTCGGGTACACTTCATTGGCAGCATTTATTCAGTAATGATTTTCTCATAAAGCAAATATCACCGATTTTATATACATGCAGAAAAATACACACAGTCATCCAGATGCGATCTTGCTACTCAAACAACTTTCTTCTTAGATGTGAAAACTATAAGACTACCTGGCTTCACAAAACGTATGCAACCAACAATGCGTGCAGTTGAGCCGTTCCTCCATAGATGGACACTCACAACGATCCTAGAGAGCAAACGTGGAATGTTTGCACCCCAAGAACTACCTAGTCTGCGAAACGACATTTTATAGGTTTTTTATGTTTCATAGATTTCTTACATAATACCTGTGCCGTATCATGTAAAATGGTTGCTATGCTAGCAATCTGATCGCCATACTTGTCATCTGCGTTCACCACATTGGAGCACATAGCTCAAGATCTTGACGTTTAAGCAACCTACACAACTCCTACGACAGTGAACGCGATCAGATCACTATCCATGTCATTTTGTAGCGACGCAATAAGGGTGCTATCTGCCCTAGTGTGTTTAGTAGTGACACTGTACACATTCCTCCATTTCGATTGCATTATAGAAATCGTGCGCAAGCATATTGAACGATATTGTTACTTCATACGCTGCTGCACATGCATACTCTGTATACAAATACCGTTCGTTTCGTGCATGTATATATGTAGTCGCAAATTTCTAAATCATCCTGTTACGCTTAATTTGGGTTTCAACATAATGCCGTATTTTACACACGCATTTGCGTTAGACAGCAGCCGCAGAGTTCGTGATAATTAGAACGTATCTAATATTATTATTGTCGGATTAAGCATGCGAAGTTCGGTGTACATAGAATTTGCGTGGATGTTGATACCAACTAAATATTTCTGTACTAGGCAATAGTGGTATTCAGTATCCGAACACCCTTGAAACTCAGCAATCACGCATTCTTTCGAAAAACAGTTGAAAAAAAAGTTACACGGTATCCAAAAAGCTGAGAAACTCATAGGATGTCAAGTTTGTGAGTTCAAAATGCAACCAAGATTCTGGACATCAGATCCGCGGAGTGATTCCCGTTCCAGGAAGTGGTGGCTGCAACGTCAAGGTTCCCGTTAGTGGTGCCACTATAGTGTATTTACATCCAAGATACTACCACCAACGTGTTGTAAAACAAAGATGACAGTATTTAACGAAATTATCTAATATAGTGAAGTAGTTATAGTTAAGGGTGTCGCAAAATCAAATTTTTATTCTTGAAGGAGTGCTAAGCTTTTCTACAGATTTTTCAAACTAGACAACATGGAGAAATACATACCAGAGGTAACCAGCTGCGCACTATGCACAATGAATCCATAGTCAACGAGGGGTAGAGATGACACTTTTGTACCTGGAATAAATATAAGGCTGTTCAATCAATTGAAAATAGATTTTGAAGGTGCACTTCGGACTTGCATTGTCTGTAGTTTATCTGTAAGTTAATATTTCGCTATAACTAGTATTCCCATAATATTTATTCTGTGACAAAACAAAAACGCGAAACTTACTCAGACTCACTT